CCCGGAAACGAGCCATTTGGGACGAAAGGTTGCACGCACTCATTGGGACGCTCACGATCCTACCTTGATATCCGAATGCCTGTTTGCGGTCGCGAATGTTTTCTCTTCCCTTAAACTTGTTCACTTGTTCACCGTTAATCCACATCTCGGTCCGTTGCAAATTTCCCTCGGTAAGTGAAAGCTCATTTTCAATTTAAAATTGGAAGAATATGTTTTGTCGTCCCTTGGAGGGAGTGTTTTTTTGTTATGTTAACATTAATACTGAAAAATAACGCATCGATCAGTTTTATCATGATCTGATGGGCATCGATGCAACATAGGTGTTTATCCAGTCATCGATCGATGCCTAACTATCGATTCGATCCTCACCCTCACGAGCTTTCTTCAAAGTGGCATGGTTGACATGTTGTACGCAGCGAAGCGCCTGCTGTAGCACCTGATCCTGCAGAGGCGGAACAACCCCTCTCCGTCCCCAACCTGCAAATCACGTTATCTTAAAGCAGGGCCGACAGATGCAGACCGCATTCTTCTGTAACGCTCTCTCGCCCAATGGATCGCCATGCGTTGCGTTGTGTATGATGAATTTTTTCTGTTGTGTTTCTTACGCCATTCCGTCGTTGAATGAAGGTTTTGAAAGGTAGCGCCTCGAAGCTTTTCCTACGGCCCAAAATCGATGGTGAATGAAGTCTATTTTAAAATGTTTCTACCAAAATGACGACCATCATTTTTTTCTATGGCGGCGTGATCACATAGACATTAAAAAAGCATCATTAATAAATACGAGAAGTGTAACGAATCACGCATTCGACTGCAAATCGGAAAACTGTCAGTTTGTCCTCGAAAGGGATACTTCATTTGACTCACAGACAGAAAATGGCGGGTCTCGAATCGATTTCTGCACAATTTACGCTCATCCATCCAACGTTAATAAAATGAAGGCAATTTTGAGGGAAAAATTGTTTCTTATGGTGATCTTGTCAATTAGCTGTAGGCACGGCGTTCAAAAATAAGGGATTTCGGAAATTCATGTTGATTCTATGTCAAGCACATTTTATTATGGGCGATATTCCGATTCAGTGGCTTTTGACACAAATTTAGGGTTATATTAATACGGTTAACATTTATCGCCATCGCGCTAGCCTCGTTTAAGGCAGAACAAAACGGCTGTCTCATAATTACCCAGTAATAACTGTAATAACTTATAGTAATTATTAACTGTACAATATTTTAAGTAGTTTGTTACTTATTTGCACCATTGCGTTTATGGCTGCTCAGAGCAGGTTCCGAAATCAACGTGAAAATTCATTTTTCTTTCGTCTGCATCTAAAGCCACTTACGTTCAGTGTTCTAGGAAGAATGGTGATAGATATTCTGAAATTTTTCTTCGTCTATTCCTTGGTGCTGTTCGCATTCGCTTGTGGTCTCAACCAGCTCTTCTGGTATTACGCAACAATGAGGCAAAACGAATGCGGAAAATCCAATAATAAATATCTTCCCGAAGATGTTCAAAAAGAAATGGCAGCCAGCTGTGATCCGGAATATTCTGCGTTTGCCAAGTAAGTATGCTAAGATGAGTGCATTTTCGTGTATCTGCATCGCCTGTGCTCCAATGCTTCAACAAAGTTCTTTATCAGCGAATAGAAAGTGGTTCAAAGTTTGGAAGAACCTTCTCTTTAAGTGGCTGAGCTTTCGAAACCGCAAACAAACAAGGTTCCATTTTCAGCAGCAACAATAGTATTAAAATCAGAACCGCAATCAGTAATTTCAGTTGCTTCACACTCCTTTCAATTTTATTTTTTTTACTTTGAACAGGAGAACTATTTAAGATGCTGAAAGTTCTGTCATTTCAAATAAATATTTTGCTCAAAGTTGAATCATAGTTTTGTCGATTTATATACATATTAACCTGTTGATGTCGTTTGTAGTTATTCGTTGTAATCTCTTTACTAGCTCCGCCGTTTTAAGTGCAGTGACCGTTACTGTCCTTCAAGAGATATGCACTTATAATCTTTATTGGTAGATTTTCTTCTAATGTGGCATAGACGATCCAAGTATGTTACAATTCGTTATTTTCTAAAATATCTATGAAGGTCATTCCATTGGTATATGCTGAACGAGTGTGAGGAGACAATTGATCATGGCCAAGATTCTGACCAAAGGTACTATCAAGCACCTATTTATATTCATGAAATTGGATGAATCAGTGAGTTTCATTATTTGACTAAACAGATCTGAGAACTTCAGCCAAAAACTGGTAAGTCAAAATATGCTAGTAAGAAGGCTCAAGTTTCAGTAGATGAGTAGGATTTGTAGCTACCCAGTAAATCCGTAATAATGCTGGATTTAAATAAATCGTTTTTTTGTCTCAGTCTGTACTGGAATGAATGATTACCACTTTGGAAAGTACGGGATGCATCAAACTAGTCTTCCATTTTTGTTTACGCCACTTGAACATCAAGCTTCTTCAGGTTGTTGCAAATGATTAATTAAATATCGGAGGTGAATTTTCTTCCAGTTCAAATAAGTTCAAAAGTTCTACTGTTGTTGGAATCAGCATATTTGATTCTTGGTCTTTCCCTCCTCCTGTTCGTTTCTTTCAAAGAATTTTTTTCAAAAATATATCCGCTTCGCTTTGTTGCCTTGTTTCATTGATTATTTCATTTGAATGCATTGCTACTTTTACTGCTTTGCTAGCCTGACTCCCTTTAACATTTCAGCAACTGTTCTGTCTTTGCTTCTGGCCGTTCATAACTGAACACTTTTTTGTTTTTAAAAGTCTCGCTTAGATCATGTGCCATGCTATTCAGACATGGATCATTTCTCCACTGTCTGAAGGATCAGGAGAAGACGATGACTAGGTACATTAGAAGCAAAATTTTTAAGGAAATGGATCAATGATAAACCACTTTCCCTTCCTGCTTAGATAAAAATTTATACGCAATGAACAAGAGTTGATTTTTTAAGCTGAAATGTACCCAAGCTTTTTTGTCCTAGTAAAGCCTTTGATTGGCCTTGGAACGAAATATAATAATAAAAATTTTATGATTCTGTGACACTCGAGTGCGACTCCATAGCAAAAGCATTTATTTCAGAAGTGCACATACATGTGCAGATATATACTTTGTGGTCAACCTCAAGTATATAGCGATGAATCCTTCTATAATGTTTTTTACCATCAAAGGGTCAGTGAATCTCCATGATTACACGGTTTTTTCTGGTCATGCGCCCGGTGACCAACCAGACATGAGGCAGAGATACTTCCTTCCTACCTATGCGGCGTGGACGAATCAGCTTCGATGATTGAAGCCGTTTTTTCCTGGTCGCGTCATTAGCCATAACGTGCGAAAAAGCTGGCGCACTGTAGGAGGTTATCAGCCTGACTTTTCTGTATGTAACAAGGTGACTACATGGGAAAATTGAATGGTAGCCGCAGCTCAGTAATTTCGGTTATGGAGTTTTA